ACATCATATAGTCTCTCCATTGTCATGATGATTTGAAGACAGTTACTACAGTTATACGGCTACACTGAGACAATCAACTTCCACTAACATTTGTTTACCCTCCTTCTACATTTACCAGCTAATGGAGAAAAAAATTAAACAGACTGCCCCCAAAAATTCACCCTGAAGCAGTAGTTGTTTTTCAAAAGTTCCTTCCACCTTCAGGATACCACATCAGAAGCGGGTTATCAGGGTTGGTGACCACTACTGGTGACCATTGCTCTACAGACTACTGCAACACTGCTGTAGGATGTGAGTAGGCATGTTTACAACAGATGTAACTGCTACATTTTTCATAAAGTGTCCCTTTAACTTTGATGTACGTTAATAAAAAAATGTTTTGATCATTTCTATCATTACTTTTATGTTTTTTTATATATATTATAGATTCTACATTCGCATACATTTTTGATGAGCATCAGTGATCATCACAAAAAACAACATATGACATTTGAGCAATTCTTTTATGACTGCAAGTGTGGCATCTATATAGCAGATCTGTTTGTATTGTGCTTACAGTAGTAGTCACTACAGTCTCTCTGTAGTTAGTTTGTACCTTCCTGTGCATGCGGGATATCAGTTACAGAGCCAAAGCTCTCTAAGCACAGACTTTCCACCACATCCCAGGCATCCACTCTCATGTGGCCACCCTGGTTAACTGCTCCGCAACCTGGGCCCTCTCCTGCGCCTCAGCACTCTGGTCACAGGGTATATCCAGATGCCCATCTCTGATTTCCATCTGCTCTTCCAGGCTTTCAGCTGATACAACTGCAGGATGATACTGAGTTGATCAATAGGGAGCCAAATTAAGGGATGACAGTTGGACGTATAGAGTTTCAAAGTACACCAAGATCAAAGTTACGTGATACGTTTGTCCCCAGAGTGTCAGAGTTCTGCTCTGGCAGCATTCTCAACACCAGCACTGCGGACTGTGGAGAGGGCCTGAGAAAGTGCAGCTTAAAATACATTCAACAAACAGCTGCAACATGGTAAAATGATTGTTGTGTTTCGTGTCATTAGCATACAGTGACATCCCATATAAACAAAAATAATGTGTGGCCAAAAGTAAGGCATGGGAACAAGATAAATAAGTTGTGGCCACAGCTTAGTAGGTGTGGGAACATGATATGTAAGTCACAACCACGAGTTAGTAAGGTGTGGGAACAGGATAATTAAGTAATGGCCACAAGTTAGTAAGGTGTGGAAACAATACAATTAAGTAATGAAATAAGTTGTGGCCACAACTTAGTAGATGTGGGAATGACATGGACAAGTCATGGACGTGACTTAGTAAGTCATGGGAACGAGATAATTGAGTAATGGCCATGAATTAGTAAGGTGTGGGAACAAGATAATTAAGTCATGACCACGACTTAGTAAGGTGTAAGAACAAGATTATTAAGTCATAAGTCAACTGTATGTATATATATATATATATATATATATATATATATATATATATATATATATATATAACAGTTATGTTATGTTTTAATGTATTTATAGTATGTATTCCTGTCATCCTTATTCTATTTGTGTTATGTCATTAGTCATATTTTGTAAAATGATAACTTGCAATAAAACATTTAACAAAACTCATACTGTGTAAAATGTCCTCACACTTCCAAACAGGAGCCTCTGGCAGGAGGTGCATCTGTATCCCAATCTGTGGAGCAAAGTAGAGTAAAATATTTTTTAATATTTTCTTTAAAAAACGAACAAACAACTGAAGGCTGCTTCACCTTCAGAATGGAGTTGTCCAGCTTGTTATTACTCCTGTAGTCCTGTAGGAGGCAGTGTTGCGTAACGTACCCAGAGCCAGCAAACTCAGACAAGTTTAAGTCGACATAGCCCACCTGCTAAAACATACAGATAGAAGAAGAGCATAAAAACTAGAGGAAGTCTTTAATAATAAAAAAGGGGAATTTTACGTGTTTTCCCTCACCTTTCTGTATGATTTCCCTCCTTCCAGGTCTTATGTGAATGAAACTCATTACAATCTGCGCTATTTAAGGAATATCTACCTAAATAAATGAGGGCACCAGTTGGGGTTAAAATAATCAGTAATGCTCAGTTTGTTTACTAATAGTGAAAAAGAACTGCTCAGATGCACATAAGTCTTGCGTAGGGCTGGGCAGTATAACAACAAATACTGTTATTGTGATAAAGTCTGTCATGATACAATACAGTTTGCTTTTCTGAACATATCATACTTGTAGAACACTGACCAACTGCATGTCTCAGTATAAGGAGATTAAAATCAGTCTTGTTTAACTGGATTTAGTGCAACACAGTGTGTCAAATATTGCATGAAAATTATTGCATTCACAGTTTTCGATAGTATTTTTTAAAATGTGGCACTGCTGGTTCTTTTTCTTAGTTCCAACTGATCAGATCAAAAATAAATATTGTGACATATCATGTATCATAATTTTTTTTTAGCATCGCAATATTATATTTTTGCCACATCGCCCACCTCTACTTGCACAGATGTTTAGCAACTGTTATTGAGATTGAATGGGTCAATCACTTCTGTTCTAGGGGCATTTTGCCCTAAAACTAGAGCTTAATAATTATTTCTTATGTTATTGTTTGTTTGTTTTTTTTTTTTTCATTTGTTTGTTTTTGGCCAGCATTATATCTTAACTTAATCCACTTGACAAACACCAGGTTTTTTTTAATTGTTTTCTTGTTTCAATTCATCAACATTCTCTCACTCCAATACCTAGCATGCATTACGTGTCAACTAGCTTGTCATCTGGTGAGTCATTTCTGTCATTTGAGTTAACCAGTACTTCCAAACTACATCTTGTTCTCACCTAAAATTGATGCATCTGATCCAGCCAATCAGGGACTTCAGAAGAGGTTAATTAGCTGGAAGAGGTGTGGCACATTGTGGTTGGAACTAGACTCTGCAGGAAGGTAGATCTCCATGACCAGGGCAGGTGACCACTTGAGAAAACCATTCTCTCCAATGTGATGACAATTTAAAGACTGGAAAAAAATAGCCCACCCCAAACTTCCACCCTGAAGCAGCTCTAATTTTCCCTTCCACCTTCAAGATACATCATCAGAAGTGGAGCTTCCTAGTCCCTCAACATGAAAATATCTTAAATTATTACATTTTTAATTCTGGCTTGATTGTTGCTTTAAAGGGGAAAAGCCACAAAAAATTGTTGGATGTTCCAAGAAAACAATGCAAGATGCTGCAGTGAGGGAGGTGTTTGAGGAAGCTTAGGTGGGAGGGCAGCAAAATGATTAAATCAGTTAGGTTTCAGGGAAGAACAACAATAGTAGGACGGTTTTCAGCCAATCAGATTGTGCGATCAGAAGTAACTGTTCTGTACACATTTACTGACCTTTCAGCCAGAGAGTCTACACATGCAGTTCTCCAGTACCGGCCTGTTTACTGCTGTCCAGCACTCAAATGCAAACACCTTACCCATGTGAACGGAGATGAGGTTGACTTATTGCCTATAAAGCGCATAGCTGTGTCAGTTTCTCAAACGCCAGAGGGCGCTCCCGAACGAGTCCAAAATGAACGGGTTAGGATGTAGCACTTGCGCAAAATCATAGTTTTTTAAGCTTAAACATTTTAAACATGAAAGAATACGTTCATTTTCTGAACAAAGAACAGCACAAAAAAATTCACACCTGTTATATTTTTTAGTGCTTTTAAACTCGGCGCTTCATATACATTCATGACGTCAGTGAGCACAAACAGCCGATGAGCTGCTCCGCTCGCCAACTAGTCAGCGCTCAGTAGCAGTAATGCTAACACCCTGCTGCCCAAAACCCGTTTGCTGTAGAAAAAAGGAAACATACAGGTAGGTTTTCTTTGCTTTTTTAGTGAAATACATCCTTCTATTCTCTAAAATTAAAGGAAAGTTCTGGGCAAGTGATTAGAAACTATTTTAACTTCTCGTTATTAGCCACAGACCACTGTGGTCGTGCGTCATTCTGTAGTCCTCGTTATGCCCATATTAGAAGCTCCGGGTCTAAGCTCCATTTCTCTATGCGCAGAATGAATAGGGTTTTCGAAAAATCCTCTATCGCTTCTGCTGGGAGGTGGCTGTCCCAAACCCTCACTACTAAATTTTAATTGTGAAAATACTTTTTTGTTTTTAATACATTTTAAAATGTTTTCAATGTTTTATTATTAAAAGATCTTTTTCAAAATGAAGTTGAAGGATTTAGAATTTTGAGTTTAATTAAAAAATAATAATAAAAATATGCAGTCCTATTTTTTCATGTCGTTATCGAGACAAAGAGTTTTAGCCCATAGACGGAGCCTTATTTTTGCCACACCCCTGCATTTCAGAGCAGGAAGTGAGACTGCATCCCTGTCCCTCATGGCCACAGAGTGAACAGTCATTCTGTATTTATACACATTCAGATGACCGCTGAAAGATATTGCCACCAAATGGAAAAAGAAAGCGGACTGTAGAAAAAACTCACATAGATCACACATCTGTCGTTAATATGTTTACTGTTTTTTAACTGGTGGAAGAGGTGAAACGTTATGTTATACGTCACATCTCATAAATTCATGTCGTCTAATATCCCCAGTTTCCCTTCATTTAATACGACTTTGTCAGCTGTTCAAGTGCAACTTACAAGTAGGAAAAGTGGTACTTCTCAATTTGTTTTTCTTACATCTGTCATAAAGAATTTATAGGTTTATTTACATAAAACATTATCATGTGTACAATTTGTGACAGTACTATAACGCCAAATCCCACTTATTTATTACCTTGTTGTGATGTCTGCACTCAAACTTTTGCAGTTATTTTTTTCTGAATAAGGCAAGGTGTGCCCAATTTTTTGACAGGCAGTATATTATTTCACAACACTCAAACATTTATATAGTGAATTCTATAATATTTATACATTAAATAATATATATTACGTATCATGCAGCAATACAGTGAACAAAGGTACAAATTAAAACTTTGCCCTTGTTAATGATGACAAAATCAAAGTTTAATGAAACACGTTAATATGAAAATCAATTCACCCATTCTGATTTAATAAAAAAATAAATACATATATACTATCCAGCAACAACAAAGCCAGTGTTCTTCATTTGTATTCTGAATGTTACGCTTTACAAAGAAACAAATAGTATTGTTTGGAGTTTGACAGCATTTATACTTATAAAACTGCACATTTGCTGTGATTTTTCAAAGGTGCACTCAACTCTCCATAATATATGACCCTCGACTAAAGTGCCAAACCCAAGCTTGTCATGGTCTCCTGTTGTACCATTAGCTTAGCCACTTGGCCCCTTCTGTTTGGGGATCGGAGACATCACTCCTTTTCTAATGAGTTTTCTGATTCCATGCCCAGAGCCTTCAGCATCTTCTGCTCCTTTCGACTTCTCATGCGCTCCTTAAACTCCTCAAGCTCTTGTCTCTGTTTTCCGAAAGAGAAGGTCAGACTAACAGAATTATGATCACACTAATAATTCCAATATTAGGCTGATGCTGTGACCATCAGAACTATAATGAAATAAAAAGGTGATCTACTTACATGCATTTTCTCATCTGGTGGAAAGATCTCCCTCTGAAAAGGAAATGCAAGTGCATCAGTAAAGACCAAGAGCAGACTAATGCTGCAGAATATGCTGAACACTATCGTGGTGTTGGCCTTTGCAGTACTGATACTGCAGAAGGTTGCAATATGCGAATATGTTATAGTTTTTAGGGCATCACAATGAATCTCATCTGAGAATGTTTTTAAAAAATTCAGCATTTGCATGGTACAAATAAACAAATAAACTAATAAAATAATGTTGGTCAAAATAAGACAGGCTAATCGTTAATCATGTCACAAAGGCTGACCAATAGTCAGCAATATAATCACAACATAGTATTTTGTCCAATCTGTGCCATCCTGGAGTAGATAAGGCACATAAAAATGTATTGATAAAGCATGATTCATCGATCTGAACGTGGCAATTGAACTGCATCAATTCTGGCATGTTAAAATCAATTACTATAATGTTCAATCAAGCATTTTTTGATCAAAATAAAATTCACAAGTTATTTTCAAATGTTTTCATATGTACTGTCTTTGTTATATTCACTAATCTGTATAATATTCTTCAGCCAAATGTGGGTATTCAGTGTCTTTTTAAAAAGAATTCTGAATCTGAATACTTTCACCAAAATAATCTAATCAAATCATGGTGAAACTTGAGATTTCATGATGCACTGAATCGTTTCTTAAAGCAACGTTACAAGGTCAGACATTTACCAGTTAGATCATATTCTTTTACCTGAAATAAACTTACAGCATACCTATAGCGAAGGCTCTCAGCCCAGACCTTAGAAATACTGACTGCTGTTCCTGCACCTCAGGTGATCAGGAGCCAGCTACCTGCACATGGATTAAGTCTGGTCTTGGACTAAACCAGTGGTTTTCAAACCACTCAATCTGAAAACTACTAAACTATACTCAACTTTAACATCAACAGTGACTCACAACTTTAAATCCTTTAGGACTATGTTTACATTAAGATTTAAATTTAGTCATTCAGAGTGATTTGATGTGAAGTGCTCCATTCCAGAGAAATTTACTAGTCAGAATAGTTTATAGTGGTGGTAAGAACTGAATATACATACATACATATATTATATATATATTATATATATATATATATATATATATATATATATATATATAAAATATATATATATATATATATATATATATATATATATAAAATATAAAAAAAATATAAATATATATATATATATATATATATATATATATATATATATATATATATATATAACCCAGGAAACGTGATTATTTTCTGTTTTTCAATAGAAGTTATATTTGTGTTGTAAATATCAGGCTCCTATGGAAGCCCATTCCTGCCACTTACAACAAAAAAAATCCAGCACCTAGTTATTATTTTCAACTGCTATGCCATTATTTTGCGACAATATCTCATTATTTTGTGATACTGTATTATTTTGAGATGCTTACTCATTATTTTGAGAAACCTTCTCGTTATTCTGAGATGCACTCACGCTAGTTTTTTTCAAAATGAAGACTTAGTATCTCATAATAATGACATCGCGAATCTCTTAATAATGAAGAATAACAATTAGATGCTGGATTTTTTTTTTTCTTTAAAGTGATGGGAATGTGTTTTCACATGCTCCCCATCACCACTATAGTAAAGAAAGCAGACTCTCTAAAAATTTCTCTAAAATGCACTGCGTCTCATCAAATCACTCCAAATGGCTTTGTTTACACATCAAAAACTGAATTAGACAGAAAAACGTCCATTCTGGTTTGAGATACCAGCCTAAATAACTGTACAGGTTATACAGGTCTTGTTTACACGGTTCAGGTGTGTTAGGAAATGGCAGTTAGCTAACCTACTGACCTTTCTCTTCACAATGTACTCCTCAAAGTACTCCGCTTGGTTGGATATCCAGAACATCGTCACTGGGAAGGACAGATAGAGCATCATCTGGAAAGAGAATAATAAAAAGGAAAAGCAGGACATAAACCTCACAAATCACCGAGTAACTCACGAAGCTCAAACTGACTTCTTGTTCGAATTTCCCGTTCCACCTTAAACGGTGCAGCCGCAGGAGCCAGAATGTAAAGGTTGCACCATTTAAGGTGGAACGGGAAATTTACGCCGTACTGTCTGACATATTTAATACAGTTTAATAACCTATTCAGCGCCAAACGTAACAACCTAATAACGAAAGAGGAGCGGAATATATCTCACCCGAAATATTTCTATTTTCACCCCCATGTCTCCTCAAGGCTACCACAAGCTCAACATACTACAGTTCCGGTTGCAGTGCTGCTGCGCCAACTCGGAGACAAATTAAAAGTTCACCGAGCAGCACGTCTCTATAAGACACCGGACAGAAACATAATCAGGAGAGTTTAGGGAGCAAAGTTCTCACATATAAAACCATAAAAGCTTTCATTTAGCTCCAGAGTCTCCTCCTATCTAGTCCACTTCTACAAATGTAGGTGCCACGTGTGTTTTTGGTCTATATGATCCCAAATTCACATACAGTTCACAATTTCAGTCCTTATTTCATGCCCTATGGAGCAAACAGCCGTTTGAGATGCACTTAAATCCACACTGGCTGCCTCAACTTGTTGCTAAAAATAATAAACTCATCAAAAGGTATAAATTCTTTATTAAATCGTTTGTTAATGCATTATTTTTATTTAAAATACATTGTAAGTGTACATGTTCTTCGCGGAATATTCAATATACTGTTGTCACATAAAATAAATTGGTCATAGTCTTGGTCAATTCAATTGCTACTGCAATGCTCCTTTTCACTTAGACCACTATTCCCCAAATTCTGTTTTATATCCCTATTATGACTCGCCAACCACTTTTATTTCAAAACGATTTTACGCACTGTCGTATCTGCTACCACACGCATTTTTTAAAATTCGAACTTTTATTTTGAAATACATTCCCGAGTGTGGCCGGAAAGACCGTCACTCATTGCTCTTGTGAAACCTTACGTCAGAATTATATAATAACAATTTGGAAATAAAGTCTATAGATTAAAACATAAAACAAAAAGCTGCACATGGCACGGCCTGAACACATCTGTGATTAAAAATGGATACTCCAAGCCTTTATCAGACTTTTTCTGAAATATAGGGTTAATGCAGTGTCAAAACACATCAACACAGTTTTGAAACGTAGCGTTATGTAACTCAGCTCATCAGCTGTTTAGGGACACATATTTCAGATTAAGTTACGGTTAGAATTAAACTGGCAAATTAGGTGATAATTTGTCTTAAATTATTGAATTTTCCTAACTCATTCGGTATGTTTACACTTCAAAATAAAAGACTTGACTTTCTAAATATACTTGTAAATCTGCAAACTAGTATCTTTCTATTGATGTTTCACACTGCATTGCACAAGCGCTATTTTTTTTTTTGCCTCTTCAGTGCAGTGAGTAGTGCTGTCACCTCACAGCAAGAAGGGGCTGGGTGTGATTCCCTGGCTGGGTGACCTGGGTTCTCTATGTGTCTGCATGGGTTTCGTCCAGGTGTTCAGGTTTCTGTCTGAAGACATACAGGCAGGCTAAAATACCCCTAAACTGTGACTGTGTGTGTCTGCCCTGTGATGGACTGCTAACCTGTCAGGGTGTTTCCTGCCTTCTGTCCAGCACAGGTTCCAGCACCCCTGGACCCAAGAGGATGCATGTTGAGTGATGTAATGTTGTGTTCAAGGTCAGCATCATATTTCTACAAAATGTCAAATAAATTGCTCTCAATCTTATTTTGGAAGAATATCAGTACGTTCTGACTGAGCTAGGCCTGTGAAAAATATATAGATGTGTAACATAATTATTCTTGGCTATAATGTTCCTCATATAGTGCCATCCACAAATATTGGCACCCCTGATAAACATGGGCAAAACATACTTTATTGCTTATTATTTTGATCCTTTATTCAAAATATGAACAAAAATAAAACTTTTTTTTTCTTTTGTAAGTACAATGTAGGAGCGAAATATTTTTCTCAAATCTGTGTGCGCTATAATTGCTGGCACCCTTTATTTACTACTTTGTGCAGCCTCCCTTTGCATAGATGACAGAGCTTTTATGTTTAATGAGACTGGGGAACAAATGACAAAGGATCTGAGACCAAAATCTTTCCAGATCCTTCAGATTCTAAGGTCCACACTGTGGTCTCTCCTCTTCAGCTCATCCCATGTTTTCTATGGGGTTTGGGTCAGGGGACTGGGGTGGCCCCACTATGCATGGGGTTAATTCTGTGGTCCGTGAACTACTTTTGTGTTGATTTTGAGGTGTTTTTGGAAGAAAAACAGCCCCACATCATCAAAGATCCACCACCACACTTCACAGTGGAGATGAGGTACTTTTCTGCATGGCTATCTTTGTGTCCACGCCAAACTGACCTCTGGTGTTTGTTTACAAAAACCTTTTTTTTCTTATCTTACCAGGACACGGTCCCACTGAAAGTTCCAGTAACATTTGGAAAACTGTATGAGCTCTTTCTTCTGGCAACTCTCCCAAACAACTTGTGGTTATTTAGGTGGCGTCTTATTGTAGTTTGGGAGACGTTGTGAGCCCAAGACCTAACTTAATGTCTGAAGTTTTCCCATCTGTGAACCTTGGAGATTCTTTGTCCACTCAAACCATCTTCCTCACTGTGCATGGGGTCAGTATAGACATACCTCCTCTTCCCAGCAAAATCTTCACGTCTCCCAATGTTTTAAATTCCTTAATTACTGTCATGGGCATTTTCAACAAGTGATATTGTGAAATCCAATAGTGAATTTGATGCCCATAATGCACAGCCCTGTAAGTAAGCAGGTTTCAAATCGAGTTGAACAATGTGACTTTCTGACTGTGTTTCTGACTGACTCTGACAATGTGACGGTGACTTTTCTTTTGTAGAGTGAAAATATTTAATGATCCTAATTGTAAAGCTCACAAAGGAAACAGACAAAAGACGCATTTTTTGTTTCCTTTTAATTTTCTATAAAAGAGATGAGTTTATATCATGATCATAACAGAGTGAATCATTGACCTCGATAGCTCACTCACATACCAAACAGTAATCGAGGAAAATGTTTAACAAAAACCAAAAAAAAAAGGAAAAAAGGAGAAAAAAAAATAAAATAAAATACCTGAATAAAGCAAACTCTCGGCTGAGCCGCAGGTCAGCACATTCTGTGGAGAATTCGTATCTATGGCACATAATGTCCAACTGTTACCAAGGAAAACAAAAGAATACATTTAAAGGCTTGAAGGAATGAAGCGTTTCTTCGTTCAGCTTTTACAAACCGAATTAACGAAAAAAATTTATATATATTTATATATGTGGACTTCATTGAGGGGGAAAAAAGTGTTAGCAAAGCAACTCCTCTTGTTAAGTGTTTCTGGAAGCTCCCGGGAGGAGCACACTTCCCTGTGCCACATACTGAAGACCATACTGACACATACATACACACACATCCAACTATCCATACATACAGAATAATGAGTATGTGGCTGCTCTGACATGTCCTCTTAAAACAGGTTCAAGAAAAATGAAGAAAACTTAACTGCCTGGTGAATAGTTAAGAAGTCCAGCTAAAACTAGATTTAAACCTGAATATTGTAAATGGGTAGAATATAAAATGTTGACTTTCCTTTTTTTGTCTATTTTTTTTTGTATTTTTTTTTTGTATTTTTTTGGTGTTTTTTATTTTGCTTTTTACACAAGCTCTTCCCTAAACCCCGAGTTCTCCCTCCCACATCTTTCAGCCCCTCCCTTGCCCTCCCTAGAACGTAATATATGCCAACTAGAATCGCAATACAATACAGGCACTGGAGAAAACACCATAGGAGAAAACTCAGAGGACCCCCGCAAAGGTCTCAAACTGTGCCCACGCCCACCCAAACCCTCCCGCCCCCCCTTTTGCCGACTCAAATAACATAATTAGAACTCACATCCACTATAATTGAACAAGAACAATGATATAAAATCAGAACTGTTTGATTTTTTTTGTTTCAAATCTTAATGTAATCGTTATATCTAGAACAGCGTACAGTCTCCTCTGATTGGATTTCAAAATGATGTGCGAAAGAAAAACAGGAGCCATGCAAAAAGAACACAAACAAACAAACGGGGGGAAAAAAAAACAAAAAAACAAAAACAGGTGAGAGGTGCACTCTGGCTCCACCCTCTCCGCGGTGTTCCCGAAGAGCCGAGCGCTCGCTCGGCCGCTGCTTATGTCGCTTCTAATATGCAGTTGCATGAACCAGTTACGGACAATACGTCAACTTCTTTCTATAAGTATAATACACAGAAAGCAGTTACTGTATGCTTTCAAATTATACTCGAACTGAAGGATACTGAGAAAAGGTGTATACCCCCCCCATACGGTATGACTCTGTGTCAACTTTAAATGAAATGGAGAAGGATTAAAAGTATACCTTAAACGATTCTGTCTTGAATTAACAATTGTTGGAGTAATGCATATATTAGGTTTATCTACTACAAGGCTACCTAAACTTTCATGTCGGGTGGAGAGAACAAGAAAATATATTTATATATTACGAAAAAGACAAGTCAAATGAAGCATTTCAGGTTTAGGACTTCAGCATAAAAGGAAAAAGTTGTTTGGCATAGACATCACAGGGGGTTAAGTGTTGGTAAGAGGGTTAAAAAAAAGAAAAGAAAACAAAAGGAAAATAATTAACAGTAATCATTAAGAAAATACCTTTTTACAGTAGTATCCTACATAATGAACAATCTGTAATAACACTTCGGCTTGTGTTTTGCTGTTTTGTTCAAACCCCAGGTCAGTGAATATCATGTACTGTGATGTTTGAGTCTACAGGTCAGAGGCATAAGGCAAGCTGTACCTCCTCTCCTGAGATATTACATGATGATCTTAAGTTGGGTCACAACCAATCTTGTCGCTTGCTTGCATGTGTTCTTAAAAAAAAGAAAAAAAAGAGAAAAGAAAAAAAAGAAAAAAACAAAACAGTGAAAGAAAAAAAAAAAAGCAATACCCCTTAGACATCTGGCAGTTGATGAACGCCGCACTACGGGTAATCAGTACATTTAAACTGTTGTCGCTTAGATATTCCTCCACTAATCAAGTCCGTCCATTTGCTCCCATTGATTCAAACTAGTGCCCCATGAGAAGTCCTTTCCTTCCTGATACCGTTACAGGTTTAAATCCAGGAGGAATGCCAGAGAGACAATGATGTCCCAGCTTGAGGGTCCCTCTTTTCTGCTAAGGCAACAAGAAAGCTACAGGCTTCCTGTCAGGGCCTCAGCTTACCCAATGCCATCTCTGCCTCTTCAGTGTTTCTCATGGTCAGTTGGGGTCTTTTATTCCCTTACCGCTTCACCAGTCCACTTTCTCTATGCAGAGGAATCCATTACATTATTTTTGCAGTCTCTTTTGCCTCCTCGTGCATTTCAAAACAAGTTCTCCTCGAAAATAGCCATCAAATCACTTTGGAAATTCATGTCAATGGTAGCTGCCATCTGTTGAAAGAAGACAAAAGTAGGCATCAGTTAAGTAATGCTTACATAATTTTATTGTCTCAGATGTGTTACAACGGTATATGTCCAAAAACGTTTGTAAACACCTGCTCAACTAACGTTTCTTGAAATGAAGGGTATTAATAGGGAGTTGGTCCCTTCCCTTTGCTGCAGTAACAGCCTCTACCTTTCTGAGAAGGCTTTACATTAGATGTTGGAGCACTGCTGTGAGGATTTGACTGCATTCAGCAACAAGACCATTTGTGAGGTGAGCTACTGGACTTGGATGATTAGTTCTGGATCACTCCAACTCATCCTAAAGGTACTGGATGGAGCTCCATCAGTTCAGGGAACACAGTACCACTGCGGCTTTATACCCCTCTAGATGACACTTGGCATTGGGCAGCTAATTCTAGTAGCAATGCTTTTTCTGTGGAGATTATATAACCTGTGTGAGTGCAACTGAATGACTGTCACTCAGTGATGTGCACCCTTACATAGAATTTACTAACTAGGTGTCTGGATACTTTGGGACATATAGTGTACGTGTTCATTCATAACACTGTACAACAGCGTTTGAACATCATTCAATCTCTTGTTGCAGTGTGAAGATAATGAAGTGGGCAAAAGGAAACCAATGGGCTACAACTCACCGCCTCTCTCCTCCGCCTCTCCTGTTCCCGGCGACGTGCCATCTCTCTCTGCTGATCCAGTGCGCTCTGGCTAGAGGCTGGGGACTGGGCGGGGGCCTGCGAGGGCTGTGGTGCTGACGGGGGTTGGGCCGGTGGGTTAGGGGCTTGTGTTGGGGCCTGGTGCTGCTGCTGAGGGGCCTGCAGGTGCTCAGAGCGTCTACGTGGCTCCTCGTGGGGCCTTCGCACTGGCTCCATCGAGTCTTCCTCATCCCGACCCCTTGGGAGAGCAACAGAGACAATGAGTCGTTCACCCTGCTGCTGTTGTCTCCGAAACAGCCATTTTTACAAGTACTGTGTCATTATTACATTACAAACCAGGATACTCATCAGTCACCATAGGAACAACTTTCATATTAGAAACAAGAAACATTATTAAATCTCAATTATCATTAAATCCTATCATTCAAAATCAAATGTCAGCAGGATTCGATTGAATTATTTTGGTATTAATATTTATATAGATTCATAATTATATATATAAAAAAAAAAAAAGGAGATGACTGTGGCTGTAGTGGAGCACAGACCATAAAACTAATACACCAGGTTGTTTTGTTTCCATTTGACTATATTTACAGAATTCTGTCCAAAAATTAGTGTAATTTTTATACAATATTAACTTATTATAACCAATTCTTTTTGTGGTGTCATCGCCATCAAATGCAACCCCACAATGCAATTTTTTTTTTAATCTCACCGTTGTTTCTCCTGCTCTCTGCGCTGTCGGTCCTTTTCGGCCTGCTCTGCCTGGGCCTTCAGTGCTTTCTCTCTCTCCTCCTTCTCCCGAGCTGCACGCCTGAACTGCTCGAAACTGTCGCTGCTTGACTTCACTGCAGACGAGGGCGTGGAGGTGGACTTCTGTGCCAGGCTAGCCCACGAGCCCATATTCTTAAGCTTCACATCCTAATGGGGGAGACAAAAATAAATAAATGCAAAAAAATTGAATTACTGGACAACGCAGCTCAGAAAAGTCAACACAGTACATCGTACTTAGCACAATTTCTTAGAACAATATATAGTACTGTGCAAAAGTTTTAAGCACTTGGGAAATTGCAATGAAAAAGCTATTTATCTCAGTGGTAAGCATTTTTTGCTCAGAAAAACACAAATATTAGGTGCTTCAGACTTGCACAGTACAGTATACATGTATATAAATTATAGACCAAATATAGAAATGGCATCACTTTTTTAGCGCACACACACATTATATTATATATTTTTATATATATATAAATAAATAAAAAATGTGTGTGCGCTAAAAAAGTGATGCCATTTCTATATTTGGTCTATATATACATACATATATGTATGTATAGTCACTGTGAGAACAAAACCTCATACAACCTTTTTTGCTTCTTAATTTAACATGATATTATTGGAGGCCATTTCTAGTAGTGTGTGTCATGAAATGTTCTGTCAAATGATGTCAAAAAATGAAAGATCAAAAATGGAGATATGAGGTTTTGTTCAGACAGGGACTATACATAATGACTGAGAAAAGCTGAGTAAATTATGTTTTTCAAATAAAGCAATTCTGAATAATTGAAACTGACAAGGATTTCCCTTCCACCCACCTGTACCTTTTTAGGGGCCACCGGTGTTTTGGGCTCTTGTTTGAATTTGTCCTTTTCATGCATGGAGGGTGATGGGCCACTCTGGTCTGAGGAGCGGATGACAGGGCGTGAGCTCTCCAGTGGCTTCATATCTGGCCCTAAAACATGGAGACACGGTCAAGACCATGACATATAGTGTACTTCTTGACGTCTGTTTCAAATCTCTGGTAATTATTATGTCTTGCAGCAGTGAACATCTCTGATTAACAGTTGGAACAGAAACAGAAAAACATCGCCTCAACAGAGGGTACTCACTCTGCTGACTGTGAGGTGGCACATGGGGCTTGCTCTCAGGCTGTTTGTGTGGTTCCGGTCGCATGGCTGGGCTGAAGGACTCTGCCCGTATCACAGGAGAGGGAGGCTGCTTCTCCTCCTTCAAAGCCCCGAGAGCTGGAGGCCCCTGCTGCTGTGGCTCCTGAAGTAAAATACAGCAACGCTAGTTAATTATAAAGAAGCAACAGAGAACACAGTCCAAAAGAGGAGCATCTTAACAGCATGGCTAACGAATAGCACAATACTCACTTTTTTGGGCTGCAGGTTATGAGAAGGCGATTCGTGGACAACAGGAGGATAATGGGAGATTTGAGGGGAATGCATCATTAGAGGTGAAGGGTTCTCTCTCATGTGCCCTGTCAGAACAGAGGATGAGCCATTAACACATGACTCAAACCATGAGCTCTTCTAAAACCGAAGCTTGATTCAATTTTATTAAATCAAACAACAAACAGTCTTTTCACTTTTCTCACTGGTGGAAATGGCACAGTACTAGTGCACAAAACTATATTTTCTAAGGCAGGGGTTCCCAACCCAGTTCTTAGAGCCCCCAGATGGTCCACATTTTCCTTCATAGCTTTATGTAGCAAGTTGAGCAAAAATTTTATCAAAAATTCTCAAACATATCAGAATAGACTCTTTTTTAACAATGACCCCCAGGTTGAGAATCACTGATTTATAACAACATGAGCTCTTAGGGATGCTTGGTATTTCCGCTGAGGATGTAGAAGACCATGTTGATGAATCTGGCATTTACTGCAGTTACGCATCCTACATGTTTTTTGGCATCTTAAAAAATATATATTTGAATATCTGACAAACAAGGGGAAAATTACAGTTTATGGCCCTATTAGTCCTAGTGTGCACAGGTAATTGAACATTCTTTAACCACTCTAGGTACCAATATCTGAATACCAAACATTGAGGGATTCACTGTGCTGCTTCACGGAAAGGTGAAGACAATCACACAGGCCTATAGTATTAGCGGTAAAGTGTGCCAATATTAATTGTATTGGCAATCTAATAAGTATAAGGGGAAAAGTTACTAAATTTGCCACTGATGGTGCAGTTGTAGAAGTGGTGGACAACTTTTGCCTACTTGTAGCAATCAACAAGAGGATCCAGCACTCAAGAAATATATGTCACAGATTGGCACTTGACAGATTAGGATGAAGGAGCTTGAAAAGATCTTCAAATGTAAAGATGTATCGCTACAAAAATCAGAACTGTCTAGGCTGTGGTCTTTTCTGCAGTTCTTTAAGGATGTGAGAGGTGGACAATAGAAATTCAGTGTTTGGTGAAGAGTTTTGAGAGCACATTGAACAACAAAAATAACAAATGGATTCCTGACCAAAAACAAGCCACATTTCTCACCCCAACCCCAGATAATTAAACTGAAGCGCTTCTTTTAGACATATTCCAAGAGGATCCAATTCATTGAAAAGTTATGCTTGGAACCACTGTAGGTAAAAGAGGAAGAGGACGACCAGCAACAAGATGGATAGACACAATCAGAGGAGTCATGACCAAGCCATTAAGAAGCATAAAGATCAAAACAGAAGACAGGATGTTCTGAATAAACACTATCTATGCAGGCACCAGGAGTCGACTGGATGGCACTTAACAATATAAGAATATACTCTATTGGTTACTACTTGTTAAAGTAGTATTTTTAAACCTAACAAGAACTAACAAACAATAAAAAGAACAATTTTATCCTGCAAGTTTCTGACCAAAAGCAAGAGCAATTTTTTTTTCAGTTTAAGCAGCCTTCTACATACATATGTACATATTTGCCATAGCGATACGATTTATTGGCAGAAGATGGCGCAACTAAGTATTGACCTAGAAGGAAACCTGACACCAATACCGGTTTAGACTATACATTTCCAAGTGTGTTCTTACCCGTGCTATATGAATCAGGCTTGTGTTGACGTGGAGAGGGATGCTGCTGCTGTTGCTGAATAATTTGCTGCTGTGCTTTAGTGGGGGTCATGGACACCTTGTGTTGCGCTGGCTGGGTCTGCGTGGTCTGCACGGGGCCTTGGGAGTAAGCAAGCTGCTGCTGCTGGGTCTGTGTCTGTGGGGCATGCTGCATGTGTCTGGGCTGGTGCTGGGGGATCTGGGGGGAGGGCTGGTGCGACGGTGTGGGCTGAGGCTGGGTCTGGACAGGCAGCTGTGGTGTGGCAAGTGAGGTCTGTGGGCCCAGCTGTGATTGAACCTGCACCGTCTGCAGGAGGGAAGCCTGGCTGGACTGCTGCTGCCGGCCCTGCAGGGACTGCATGAGTGCACCCTGCTGCTGCTGTTGCTGCTGGCGGCCTTGCTGCAGGTGCTGAAGGTAAAGCTGGACCTGGTTGAGAGGCATGGAGGGCACAGGCTCCTCATCGTCTTCCAGCAGCATCTGTGGCGGCTGCGAGGACAGCAGGCCCTGAGGGGTGAGCGTGGGAGGTGACAGGGGTCTCTGACGGAGGGGCTGCGGCGGGTGCAAGAGATGGGGCGGGAGGTGGTGCTGGGGCTGTGGGGTCTGCTGCGACTGCAACTGCAGGGGCTGCTGGGGTGGGTGTTGCTGCTGCGAAGGTGGCTGGGGCGTCGTCGTCGGCTGCGAAGGTTTGGGAGGTAGCGGCGCAGCCCTGTTACTGGGTCGCGAAGGCTGCTGAGGCATAGCATTGTGCAGTGCTGCAGGGCCAGGGGAGGACAGAGAAAGAGATGAAATGAATATGTGGAAAAGAAATCCAATGCAGATCATGTTTTCTTTTTTTTTCAGTCATGGAGTAGCACTGCACTTTAAGATTTCCTTACGCATGTGACTCAAATACATCAGAACATGTCAAACAACATAAATGGCTTGGGTTAGAATTACTTAACTCTTATTAATTAAGGGGCCTCAATCTTGGAAAACCAAATTTCCAAACCAAAAAAACGAATGCACGCATCGTATGTGTGTGTGTGTGTGTGTGTGTGTGTGTGTGTGTGTATGTATGTGTGTATATATATATATATATATATATATATATATATATATATATATATATATATATACATACATACATACACACACACACACACACATATATGTATGGTTTTTCTGGGCCGATACAGATTATTAGCAATCAAGCACACCGATATCCGATATTTGGGACTGATGTGAATTTACCATATATTTGATGTTTGTAGTGTAAAAATTTACAAGAATGAAACTCTTACTCATAACTGATATTAAATTAACATTATAAAAAATGAAGTGCTTTGAGATTCATAGACTGCTAAAACAGTAACAAACATTTTAAAGCTATCCTTAATACAACAAACAGATAAAAAAAAATAGCTCTCATGTTTAATAGTCAATGACATTTGTTAAAAAATTGGAACTCAAAAAAGGCCTCCAAAACTTTAAATTCAAAAATGTATATACAAATATTTACACAATTTTTATATAAAACAGGTATGTAGTATAAACCACTGATATTGTAGAAAGGGCACAACGTTTTAGTGTATGGATGTAAACAAGAAAACCTAGATGTAAACTAAAGATTGTATAAACCCGACAATAACCAAATACAAAGAACTGTAAATGTATTACCAGGAATGCAAACAGGTAAGAGGTTTAAAAGAACTTTGTGTGAATAGAGAAACAACTGAAAATATCCACAGGCCAATGTGCACCAGCCAGATTAAACATACCCTAGGTGTGACTTTCGAAACCGAGGAATACGTCTATGTTGTTTGTCACAAAACTCAACATACAGCAAGTTCACATTTTCACATTTCTCTACCACATCACTTGGCTAGCTACCTAGTTCAAGCTAACTACCTATCTAGCTAAGCCAGCTATGTTGACCAACACACAACTGCCATGCCTTTAATTAACATTGTTGATCATTGTTATCAGAGCCCGCCCTGACCTGACCAAAATTCTACAAAGGGGCTCTCCTAACTGACCCGTGAACCATGTAAAACATTTGCAACTGCCACACAGTCACACCTGACACCCCAGTGCTCCCACTACAATCCTCCCTTCTCTATAACAGTTTGCTTCATCTGTTGGTCTAAGAATAAGCAGATCTGTACAGAACAGAATGAGGAATAAACAAATAATATTTAAAATTACAGATAATACTATCATTAACTTCAACAGCTGCCTGAAGCTCATTAAAACTGGCTCCCCCAGATTTCCTTTTATACCTTTTCAACCATTTTTTGTTTGTAAACACTGTTGCCTTGTATGTCACTCACACCTTTTTGTTATTTGCTGACATCACACCTGGAGAGAACACAAGTTTACAATTCGCCGTCATAGTGTTTTCTGTTTTGTGACCAGATGAATAGTCTGGATTCATCTTTGACAGAAGAGATAGTTTTGATTAATATGTGGAAATTAGGGGGAGGTGGGGGTCTAGCATAATTTGCAGGGCCCTATGCAATATGCACAGTGAGTGTACAGGGTGGACCGGCTCTGAATTGACCTCATTCACCAATATCAAGTTTTTTTCTTCATTGTGTTCCTGATAAAAGTCCTAAAAAGACATCTGTCAGATTCATGATGTGTTCTTAAAACTCAGAACTGTTTGCACCTGTGCTCGAGTGTGCATAGATTCTGTTCTTAGCTAAGCAACAAATGCCAAAGAAGAAAACACTGGCGAACGTCAGAATATTCTTGAAAACTGTGTAAGTGGGTTTTAAGAAAGAAAATGTTATTTATCATCATTTTGGCCTTCCAGAGTTAGTAGAATAAGCGCAGTGGACCTCATGTTCGGCAGACTCATACTTTTCGTCTCCTCAGCTCAGAAGAGATACATACTGACACCTTTCCTGCTGGAATTCTGCGAAGACCCGCCCTCCTCTGCCTCTGATTGGCTAGTTCTTATTGCCTTCGTTCGGAATGCGATAGTTAGGGTAAGAATATCGGGGCAGAGCCAAACTTATCAGAGGCAGTGTAGGTGTGGGTCTTCGCAGAATGCGGCTGGGAATAAAATGTAGCCCACAGAAGGTAAAAAGTCGTTCTGAACTTCTGCTGTTTCTCAGACAGACCTACCCCCTGCACTCCCCATAAAAAAAAATTCTCCTCGGATCTGCACGGATCTCGTAGGTGACCTATTTTGATCTCAAAATAGCAAATTTTGCCGAAAGGTAAGGAGTTTGCATCTCTGTATTACAGTAAAAATATTACAGCAAGCATTTGAGCAATCAGACAGCAAAAATGGTTGGTACTTTGTAAAAAGCAACAACAATGAGGGAATACGAACGCTAATGTGTTTTTCATTTTGTAGTTCAACCAAAAATGAACAAGCAGCAGTTGGATGCGCTGAATGAATCAGACACATTCTCCGCAGCATGATTTGTTGGAAACAGCTCATTTAGCCTAAGCAGAGCAGTGGAATCTTCGTAATAAGCTGCAGCTGTCTGTACTTTTAAATGAGCTAAAAAAGAAATTAAAATTACCAGAAATGATATATAACTTATTTATTAAACATAAAATGATACGTTATCATTTTACAAATGATCTACTGCTTTCTGGGGGGCTTGTCTGCCTAGTTGACCCACTGACCTTAGACATACACATTTTGAACACATTCAAACCACTGCAGAAGCAGTGTGGGTTTGCACACAGTGTCTGCTCCACACAGAAACTTCACGTTCACCAAATTAATGAGATTCAGGCAGGGCTCAAGCTGCATGCACAAGTCATGCTTGTTTGGCTAGAATGAGTGAAATATGATTGAGTGCACTGAGCTTTTTGCCAACTATGTTGTCCAACCGTGACGTTTTAACCCTTTTCTCCCGCTGTGGGAGTGAACCAGATGCTTCTTCATTCCCTCTCTCACAAAACTGAAAAGCATGTATGACTGGATTTACTTGACATGAGGAGGGACACAGATACAGATTACAGAAGTGCTGGTTGGTTGTTCTCAACGTGTCATCCACACTGCAAGTAAATTAAGAATGCTGTAGGCACAACATTGGGCCAGACTACAGAAGTGTGTTTTTTTATTGTGGTTGTGTCAGACTGGCACATAAATAACAAAATGCGCTTTACTGGCAAGGAAGCAAGTTCATACGCCGATTTTAATGATTGGAAAAATGCTGAATATCTGCTCCAATTATTGTACGGGCAAATAATCAGTCAAACCCTAATAAGGGTCACTGACATGACATGCCAAGTCCATTATTTTCCACAAAATAAATAAATAAATAAATAAATAAATAAATAAAAAAAAGATTCAATAAATACACAACAAAGGACATGAATCAAAATATTCAGCTATACCTTCTTTATATGAAACCATTTTCAGAGTATCCACATAAAATTTATTTCTGTTTGCCTCCAAAAGTCCAAAAATGTCAGGTGGTGCAACCATCCAACCATACATGTTGACTGAGTTAAGATTAAGTTAATTAACTATCAAAAAAGGTAATTTAGTCATTATAAAATTCCAAATAAACAGTTCGGCATGATTTTGCGTGAAATTAAACAAGTTGCAAAATAAGGCAACTTTAAAAGTACTCAACTCACTAAAAAACTTTTGTCTGCAAGTTCTTACTTCCTCTAATGTCAGGCGGCACGATTTTTATTTTGACATGCTCTGACAGTTTAGAAAGAAGACCCCAAGTGACCTTAATGGTGCAATGCCAAGGTTAGTAGCCCTTTTACAATTTTTGGAAAAAAAAAATGTTTGAGGGTGGCCGAGCTGAAGTCAAGGTCAGAATGGTTCAATTTACCATGTCAGGTGGTATGACCTCAGTAAAAACATGAATGAGTAATCATTATAATGTTTATTTGAGGAAAACATTAGTATAAACTCAAGTTCCAAGTTTATACAGCTTTCTATTGGTATCTAAGCAGATGTCTGATTTGAAATTAGTCTGAAAAACCAGGTGGCACAAAGTAAGTCAAATGGCACATCAAGACCAGCACAGCTTAATGACTGAAATAAGCAATTAAAAGCTTTGAACACTTACTATATGTAAGATATAAAATGCACATAGATATAAATGCAAATATATATCGAGATATATAGAGATGCACCTCATCCTTTTTATTAAGATTTTTAAAAATTGTCATTAGGTATAAAGAGGTTGGAAAATGGTCATTTAAAAATGAATGACCATTTTTGGGACACAAAACTACACAGATATTTTAAGTGAACCTCAGGGGCAAAATATAAAATATAAAAAAAAAAAAGTAGGACATGGACCCTATTAGGCTTAATATTTGGTACTGTGAAGCTTATATGTAAATATGTAATACGTAAATGCTATATAGAGAAAGGAACCGCAGTGTGGGTCCACACAATTTATGGGGATAACATATCCTTCAGGAGCTGAATCATGTGGGCTATTACAAAATTAATTAAATAAATAAATAAATAAAATGCATAGTGCTAGGTTACTCCAAAACTGAGAGTGAGAAAAGACCAATGCAGATGAATGCCAATGTAGGTGAAAACTGCTTTCAGATCTTAACAGGAACAGTTTTGCATTTACCTTAAGAATCTGGAAGCCTTAACTTACCTGGGGATGGGAGGATGGGGTGCTGGTTTAAAAATGGGTGTGTCTCAGGTGAGCCGGGGCCACCTGCCGGATGAGCACTGAGGTGGGGCGGGGCAGGAGAAGATGAGTCATTAGCGTGGTGGGACAGGTGCATGAGGGGCTGGCCAAAGTGGGGTAGAGAGTCAAATGTGTTCTCGAGCAGCTGGGAGGACTCCAGCGCTGTGACAGAGGGGGCCATGTACGTAGCAGGAGACGGATGCTGCTGCTGCTGCTGCTGTTGTTTAAGCTGGGCCGTGGGCTGAAGCACTGGAGCTTGGGGCTGGAGGGGCACCTGAGGCTGAGGCATGCCTGGAGCCATCATCGGATGATGGGATTTCTTTCCCTCCTTCGTGGAGTGACCCCTCTTCTTCGGTTTGGAGGCCATTCCTGAGTTAATAAGAAAAAATAAAAATGCTGAGAGAAAACCAGACACAAGTGACACACAAATGTTTAAGACCTGCAGCAAGACACTGACTGGAGAAAAGACAGACTGTTTAACATATGCTCACAGCAGCCTTTACCTGACTCAGAGTCTTCACTGTCCGACGTGCTAGACTCACTACTGCTTCCCGAGTCTGAGGATGAGCCTTTTGTCTTAGCAGCAGTCATAGCTTCCATGGTCTTCTCTGCAACTGGACAACAGAGATCATAAATAAGATAAGAAAATCATAATTAAATCAAATCACAATTAAAATCACAATCACTGTATTTGTATTTCTTGTAATCTTGCTGATCTCCTACTTGATATATATTGACATGGACTCTCAAAGATCTATTCTTTCTATTTACTATTCTTTGTTTTTGTTATGTCATGTAAACTAACAGATTTACATAAATCAGCCTATTCGGCCTACACCAGTTTAGCTCTGCCCATTTACACTAATGAGTGTTTAACTAGCACCGCTTTTTGAACAAGGCGCAATATAGGGCAGCCGATCAGGACAGAGCTCAAATTACATATATCAGTCTTAAAGGCAGAATAATAAAAACAGCCTTTTAATTCTAAGGGATAAGGTTGGGAAAAAGTTGGGTGAGGGGAAAGACCCATGAAAAATGTAGGATATAAGCCCTTTAAAAATCATTTCTGATGTGACCGTTTGGTTCCTGCATGCTGAATTTGTCTTGACCTTTATTCAGTGTACTAGACGATTCAGTGTCAGGGACAGCACGGATGTTCTCTGCATTTCTAAAATTGAGTGCTGTTAACCACACCCCAGAACAGTGCAAGAACAGACTAAAAGAAGAGACAAACAATCCTCACCCGGAGGCTTCTTCTTCTTGCGGAGGCAAGACGAGACATATCTCTCCAGTTCACGCAGCGTTGAAGGCTTCAGCGTTTCAAAATCAATCTCTATCTCGTCAGGGTTGGAGTTTTTAAGCGAAGGTTCGCGGGACTGAATGATGTGAACCACTCGGCCCAGCTTGTCTCCTGGCAACTTGTTGATGTCCAGACTCAGTTGCCTCTTTTCCTCATAGGACATGGGCTTGCTTTTTTCTGTCTGTGCCAAGCCAGCTGGTCCTGCGCCTCCTCCCAGCCCTAGATCATCCACTGAGTCCAGGCCTGGAACAGGCTGCAGGTTGGGTGGCACAGTGCCTTGCGGTGGCATGGATCGGTTGTTCTTCAAGCCCTCCTTCTTACTGCAGGACAAAAGCAATTAAACTTATTTATCAGTTCCCAATGACTATACATGGCTTTCTCACAATTGACGCATGTTGATGCACACTGGCTGTCTCATAATTTAATTTTAGTCACTGATAAATAAGAAAACACACCTTAATATTTCATCAAAAATATAAATTGTCAAATTTATTGTAGTATTTTTTTGTGTAAAATTATGTATTTGGCTTACTTGGGTTTCTTGGTCTTCTTGGGCAGAGGGTCCTTATTGTTCTTGCTTTTCTTTTGCGGCTGGAGAGCAGGAGGAGGCTCAAGGATCTCGTCCAGCCCAGGCATGGCTCCTTTCTTTTTGTGCTTATCCTTCTTCTTCTCCTTCTTCTCCTTCTCCTTCTTCTTTGGTTTGCTGGCCTGGGGCTGGGACAGGGCTGCTAGCTGCTCATGGACTGCCTTTAGCTACATCACAAAAACAATACAAACAATTCAGAGAGCAATGAAATCTCAAACGTCACCTCATTACAATCTGATTGTTTTTGTACAGATCAGAAATACTTAAAAAATATAATTAAAAGTACAATAAAAAGAATGAAAACTTGTTCATCATGTCTATAAAAATCTATTCATTTCCTACAAAAAAAAACAAAGATAAAAAAAATAAAATTAATATATTAAGATGAACCAAAAAAAAAAAAAAAGTTTCTCTCACCTGTTCCTTCAGCTCAGCCAGCCTCTGAGCCCTCTCCTCTTCTGAATCATCTGTGGAGGAATCAGACTCTGAGGAAGAGTCGCTGGAGCTGTCAGAGGAAGAGGGCACACCTATGGGCGGCTGGGTCTTCACAGGGGGAGCAGGGTGCAGCACGGGAGCAGGAGCAGGGGTGAAGGTCTCCTCGGGCTCATCCGGCATTTTAGCAAAACGCATCTCAAACACATCCTGGTAAAGGAGAGAGGTGACCTGAAAACGAGAATTCTCCTTGTTTAAGGGGATGTTAGCAAACGTGGGAGTGAAGCTATGTACCTGCAGCTTGCGTGCCATGGCCACCACCTCATGGTCAGGAGGGTTGTACTTGTAGCAGTTGGAGAACATTAACCGCACATCTGCAGCAAACTCCTGTGCATCTCTGTACTGTCTGCTGTCCAGCTTCTCCTACAACAAAGTATCAGGTGAACATCAAAAACATGCCTCTACTCGAAAAGAAAAACAGTAAGAGTCAGCAAGAGTCGTGTATGGAAATATTTTAGGTTTGAGGCGGACCATCACACAGCAACTACAGACTCGCAAAAACCTTTGTGCAAGCAGTGCCATCGAATTTTTCAGATGAAAGAAGGAATCCTCCAACTTAGTGAAACTCCTTAAGCCAGAAATCCAGATTCATTCAATGAATAAAAGTTGAGTCTTAATTTATATTAACATTACATTAACAACTTATCAAAAGTGTTCAAGTGTTAACAATTGTTTCATTTTACTTGTCATATCTATTTATTATGTCCATATTTTTTTTTCCATGTTTCGGACGGGTACCTCAATTGTAATACTGTACCAGAAGCAGCTGACTGATTTTATTTTAAGCACAGTATTATTTGTTATAAATACTTCAAGGCTACATGGCACTGTTCTTTTTTGTAATGTTAAAAGTTGTATTTTTTCATTTATTACTTAAAGGCTACATGCCAGTATTGTTGTTTTTGCAATGTTCAACATACACTCTTTTATTAAAAACCTTTGAAGTACATGGGATTTATTGTTTTGTGTTTTTACCACGATATCGAATTGGGTATTGAGGACTGCGGAATTTTACTGGTATTGGTATCGACTACTAAATTTCTGGTATCGTGACATACCTAATACGGATATCAAAAATGTATTCTGTTTACACGTGTGTTAAATGCTCTCAAGATCCGTCTCTGACCACCTCCAAATGTGGTTTATGTGATCCAAATGTAATTCACTCACAAAGCATCCTGGACGTGTTTACATCTTACGTCTTTTCATGTGGTCCAGCGAAATCCGAACATGATACGCTCATCGAAAACGCATGTTGATGCAAGATGTAAACAGACTAAAAAATCTCAAAGATCAGGAAATGCATAATCCAAAAAACATGAAGTTGGAAATATCACAGTTCACTTGCTGCACAGGCCTGAGACTGAATTCTCACCTTGATGGTAGTGAGGTCCATGGGGTGTTTGATGATGTCATGGTAGTCATGCAGTCCCAAAGCCTCTACATCCACTGGTTTGTAGAAAGGCCATGCATACGCAGCATGTTTCTTAGCGAACATTTCCTTCACGATGCCTGCACAGTAGCGAAGTTGCTCTTGCTGTTTGGGGCTGTGGGCACCGCCAGGGACTCCGAAGGCCACGTGGTGCTGGGAGTCTGGCGCCTCTTTCTTGGGGAGTTTCGCTGGCCGGGTGCTCTCTCGCCGTGGCAGAGTTTTCCCTGACTTTGACTCAGCAGGAGAGGATTCACTCAGTTGGTCGTTTGCCGTGGGAGTCGTGGTGTCCGCTTTCCTCTTCTGGCTTTTTCTCTGCTGTTAATGGGAAACAGAAGATAACAGGAGGGACACAGAGAGTTTAATGGTTCTGCAATATGATAAGTCATTGTTATTATAGAATTATATAATATCATAACAACATGACTGACTTTTTTTAATACTGTTTTTTAAGAGTATATTTTGGGTATTATCAATACTTCTAGAACACTGAACAAATGCATGCACCACATTAAAGGCCAGATCATTTATAGAGAACCTGTGAAGAACCACAACAACAGCAAAGTGACTGCATCAACATGTGTAAACAGTAGATGACTGTCACATTTATTTTATTAATTTATTTAATCCCGTTTGATTTTTCTACCTGTTCTTTCTGTTGTTTTTTTCTTAAAAAAAACAAAACAAAACAAAAAACAATCTTTTTATTAAAAGCCTTCCATTCCAACTTCTTTACCATCCTCAGAAAAAAATGAAATAATGTGTTAAAAAGTACCTCAATGCTATATTTGTGTCATATCGCCCAACATTAGTGTACTTTTCTTTTTTTAATCCTTTCTTTCCTTTCGTTTTCATGACTCACTTTAGGCATAACATTCTGAAGAACTGGAGCCGTGCTCTGTTGAATGGGCATGGGTGGAAGGGCTGTCTGGGTTGTGGGAGGAGGCACCGACGTCATAATAGGGGCTTGAGGACTGCAGTCTGTAGATGGCAGAGAAAAGGGGGCACCCAGCGGTGGAGCATGGGTGGGAATTGTAGGGGGCACTCGAGGGGGAAGAGCTGGCATGGCCTGTTGCAGGGGTAGAGGGGGAGGGCCCTGGACTGGTCCTCTAGTCTGCGGCCCCGGTCCAAGACTAGAAAGGCCACGTGTTTGGGGTGTCGTGGACGGAGAATCTATGCCAGGCCCAGGCTTCACATTCAGCCCTAGTATGTAAGAGTGCGAGAGAGAAAGAAAGAGGTGTGAAATTATATAATCAGTTGAAAAAAAGTGAACTGAAACAACCGCTTGTAGTTGTCACCATGCTGAGAGGTTCATACCTGCGTCGGTCCGTCTGCCCCGGCCGCGACCCTTGGGAGTCATGACTGTGATCTCATTCTCCTCCTGGGGCATTTCTGAAATCTTCTGGAGGAACAGTTTCTCCAGTGCTTCAGCCATTAAGACTATGTCATCCCCAGCCTGCAGGGGGCAATACATAGCATCACCAACCCCATACATATGCAGCAGAGTTAGCCTATATCAGTAAGTCTCTGCTGAGCAACTGTAACTGTGAACTTCAATGACATCCACCCTCCAAGGGATCTATTTATGGAAAGAACAGGCACACTAGTACCTTATTGTAAATGTAGCAGTTGGTAAACATGGTGTTGAAGTCTTGAATACATTCTTGGGCATTCCAGTAGTAACTGTTCTCTAGCCGTTTCTTGATTGTTCCCATGTCCATTGGGTTTTTAATTATCTTGTAATAGTCCTGGAGGGAAGACACAAACGTCAAACACCCCAAAAGGTCACAATATCAAACTTTGCTAGCACACCAAGTCAGAGACAGGCAACTCTTGGCAGGGAAAGTCAAACACTTAAATACTTTTCTTTCAACCACAAACCACCACTCTCAGCTATCAGAAACTTGCTTCATTCATTTACGATTGTGGAAAAAAAAAAAAAAAAACATTCGTCAGCCTTTCCCAGGCAGAAGAGGAGGTAACATAAAGGTCAGAACACTCACAGGCAGGTTAAGCTTGACAGCATCTACCGGAGCCTGGAAAGGCCATGAAAATTGGTGCTTCCACAGGGTTTTCAACACCACCTTCAGCAGGTACTGCAGCTGGTTGGTCTGGCGCTTCGGTCGGGAAGGGTTGGTGATCTCCGGGGGAGAGGGATTCATGATACCAGGGGGCTGGGATGAGGGCTGCCCCTGACTGCTGCTACTCCCTGACATCTGCGCTGCGTCCAGGCCGTCCCCCATGCTGGCAGGATGGAGCGCGGGCGCAGGGGCAGGAGTAGACGCCGCGGGACACCACTCGTTCAGTTTCGAGCCAGGCGCGGGCTCCACAGAGAGAGCACCGCTGATTCCATTGCACTCCTCACTAGGATCTCTGTTGGGAGACAAGATGGGTCATAAGAGCTTCCGCACCATCTGTATCAACCCCATCATGATCATCATAATCATTATCATGGTCGTTATCCAGCTCATCACACCCTTAACCACTCTTAACATGACAGCCATTACCAACTCACATCCTTTCCCTCTATACTTAATCAAACATATTCCAGCATTTTTATCCTAGCCTGTATCTACCACAACTGTATCATACAGTCAAAAGAATTACCCACTAGCTTCTATCAAAGGGATGTTTGGATTTAGCGGGTTTTATAATTACAGGGAAACATGCTGAAATTATTGTTTGTAGTAATTAATGGTGCACTACAGATGCAGCAAACAGATACGCACTGGTTTATTCTTTTAAGTGGTCCATAACCCAGATCTACATAATTGCCCTTTCAGTTCTCTTGATCATAACACACTCCTGAATGTCTTGGTAAGCACTGAAGTTGTTTCCTAAATGCATGCCCACAAGGGATACAAATTTTGGCAAATTCATTTGATTAGTAACTGATTGTCACTAGCCAGTGATTAATCGTTAACCAGCGAGCCTAAAATCAAGAATGCAACCCCTCAAAATATCAGTTACAAAACAGAATGTTCCAGTTCTCAAATCTGTAATCCAAACACGAACACTTAGGAGTGCCAACAACAACTGAATTCCGAATTGATGCACCAATACACTAAAAAGTGTTCCTTGTATAGAATGTCATATGTAGTACTGATAGATAAGGCCAGGCAGCAACCTGTATATGAAGTCAAGAGCTCAAAACTGTATTAAACGCACTACGTAAGAACCTGGTTTTGTTTAACCCAAAGAGCCGACAACTATATACTCATGATTATATGTCCAATTACTTACGTTCACAAAGTGAATGAAATATATAAGGAAGAGATACTGAAAGTAAGTTATATAAAACCCATTACCAGCCCAGATTAAAACAAACATAAATGCCATAATTGAGGCTGCTTTGGCTCAGTAGTAGCTTTCAAAAGCTGACACTGTCCACCATGTCCTTCTCTATGATTCGCACACCCATGTGTGATTTCGTCACACTGCCATACATCACATTGTCTGTTAGAGAACAAGGACGAAACATGGTTGGCGGATGTTTGTTTTTGATGTGGTATAATGTTGCAGTATTGCAACTGTCCCCTCAAGAAATTCTCAAACAGCAGTTTTCAGCTGTACGTTTCATTTCAGTATGTCTACTTAGTGAAACTATTTGTCTCATGTTTGCAATTCAAAAACATTCCTCAACTTGAATGATAATTCTGATAGGAATTGTTGTTTATAAAATAAAATGAACTTTTTTCAAAGAGTAGCGTTTGATTTTGTTGTTAATAGTTATTCAGCTTGTCCTTTACATCCTCAATGAAATACAAACATGTTCACCGGTGTGATGCTTCTGACCGATTCTTTGAAGCTTGCTTTAAGGATTTCCTTTTTCCGATGACACATATTTGACTGAAATCTACCAGTGCTTCTTTCAGACGTGATGAAAAGTTGAGATAATTGTGTTTGTGTGAGGTATGACTGCAGTCATCCTTGAGGGGAAAATCTTGTTGATGAGGTCACATCACTAAAGGAGCCCAGTGATGGATAAAACAAGTGTATGAAAGCTGAATGCATAAAGCTGCTCCACCTATTATCAGACATTAGACAGTGCATTTAGTTTACACTAGGAGTGGGCTATATTTTGGGGGGAGACAACCACACAATAGTTTTTCTTGATACACAATACATCAACACATCATATTCTGACACAGACAAAACATGCTTGTAGTGTCACATTTACAGACCGCTATTAAAAACTAAAAATGTAATCAATGATGTGAATATTTCACATACTGAACAGCACTAAAACCAGTTAAACATGACAAATTTTACAATATTTGTAATGACACATACAGTTGGTCAGCGTTCCTCAAGTACAGACAATATCCACAATATTCTCAGAATTTGTTTATTACCATAAAAAAACTGATCATGGCAAAGATAAAATATCGTAAATATTGCCCACCCTTAGTCTAAACTATTAATTTTTATATATCATTAGGCTGTTTTTTGTAGACTAGTGCAGCCAATGAGCACTGCTCATTTAGACGACCAAACAAATTAATCTTGAGAATTAAGGATTTGTGGCCAGAATTATAGAAACATGTTTATCATATAGACACTGAATTTCCACTTAACAAACATGCTTAAAAACCAGGCTTGCTTTGGAAAAATAAAAAAATTATTAAAAACAGTGAACAAATAGATACACTGCCATCACGATAGCCATCCGGGTAGGGACAGTTCTAACAAAAAATAAATGATGCAATTAGTTCTGTGTTTAATCAAACAGGCTCTAAATGTCGCACTGGAGGGTAAAAAAAAGAAGTGGTAGAAGCTTTTGTTACTAATGGGGGATATTTGTGAACATATGAAAATTCAACCGCAAGGCAAGTGGCCACTCACACCATAGACTCTGCTTTGTTAGTGGCCAAAATGTCAAAAGTTCATCAGCTCTAAGCAAAGATCACCACCTCCTCCATTTTCACAGACCATCAAGCAAAGACAGCATGTTCTCGCCCTGCTAATGCAATTCTGTCACCTCACAAGATCTTTCTTCTTTCCTGTTTCCAGTGCAAAGTGCACGACCCTTTATAAACAGCCCTCAACACAGACATGCATGTTTTACACAATCACTGGCCACAATTAGTCAGGAGTGAGCAAAACTAACGCTGTACAACTTTCCTGATTAGATAGCCTATTTGGTCAGATTTTTGAGCATGAATTAATGAAAGCTGCTCCATGCGCTTAACAAAATCTTGAATATGCAAATAAATGAATAGATTTCTACAGGCCAAATACAAATACAAAGCTGTTACCAATGTACAGAGGCAAACAGACCAAAGAACTTCTAAACAATGAGTTACAGCTTTCTACACATGTACTTAAAGCTAAAATCACAACTGAATCTGCAGAACTACTTTGCATATATGCATTAAAAATTTGGAACATAAGCCTGTGAGCTGACTGCGTTTATTTAAGGTGAGCAAAATTATTTTATACGGTTCTTAGCTTTCACCACCAAATGTTTACGACGCAACTAACAGAATTGTCAGTTGGTTTGAGGGAAATACATATTAAACACATTTACTAAGACGTGTCAGGAGTCCTATGAAAACAGATGTTCTAATGTCAGACCTGGCGATTTCACATCTTTAGAGGACAGCAGTGAATAATGTTTGTTTATTTGAGCTTAAGCTGTGTCCATTATCAGATGGGAGTTGCTAAGGATGGACAGCTATGACCCCAGACACCTAATTAGCCAATTTGGCCAATGTAGCCTTTTACTTTCATGATTTCATTGCCTTAAAACAAGACAATGAAATGGTTAATCCCAATTATTTTCACAGCAATCATCAGCTAAAATTCCATGACGGTGACAGGCCTACAGCCAGTCACCTCTTTGATGAATTACAACATCAACATTACAGTTTCTTTTGTGAAACCAAAGAACCAAAGTTTAAAGCACATAAGCAATTGTCCCATGAACCATTCTCACAACCGGAACTGGATCCCTATGACATCACTGTTTGTCTCATCAGAGTGATGCAGGCTTGTGACCCATGTGCTGCAGGTTACTTCCTATTCTGAAACTGTGACAAGACTAATGTGACCAAGAGTAACTTAGGAACACAATATAAGAAACTGGCAAGCACCATGGCCTTGATTCACTGCCTTAAATCAATACAGAAAATTAAGCCCATGTACAGAAAAAAGCAGAGAGGAAAAACAAAACAACACAAAACAGTAGTACTTAAGTCTGACAGGCATCCCCTGAATGAATAAGCAAACTAACATCACTACATAATAGGCCACTCACCTAAACATCTGTTGCAATCTAACCTGTAAGGCTTTGCTAAAATAGGCAAAATGAATCAGTAGCCTGAAACTGACATTAGAAGAGATGTCATTTGGCTAATTACCACGTAATGCTTTGAGTGTGGGCTGCAGTCATGAGCTGGGTAACTGCGGTCTAAAATTAAACAGCACAATTAACTGATTTAACACTGTAATTTATGTGATATTGTCAGATTTATACATGCAACACCAAACTGCAAGTTACTTGGTGCTGCACAGGTAACAGGCTTCACACACATGTAGTGATATAGTGTGTAAAAGTCTCTCAAATTGGTGACGATACCGAAGGACTATGAGAAGACATTAAACAGAACAAAGGGGCAAAAACTAAAGGAGAATGGAAGGAAACCTGAATACAATCAAAACTTTCACTATAAAAGACCAACTAATCTTGCATTTCCACATGCAACCAAATATGCACCTAATTCTAAAAGGCCCCTTTTCCCCAAACACGATCTTTAGAACTCATTTTCTGCCCTCTTATTTGCAGATAAAATTGGATGTGTGTGTTCAGGCACTGTATTAACTTTCTGGTATATCTACACCACCAGCTGTAGTAATGATGTAGGTAGAGCTGGGCGATAAAACGCTGACGATAATTACTGCGATATAACTTTTCCTCGATAGAGCGATACGACATGTTCGATAAATGTTCGATATAACACACCATTCTCACACTCCCACGTTCAGCGAAAGCCTTGGTGGCGTTTTCTACTGCAAGGAAAGCGACACTTCTCTGCTGTCACCAGGAGAGGGCGCACTTCCGAGTTTTTCTACATGAATAGAGAGGGAGGGGGCGACGAGGAAGATGAGTCTTTAGCAATGGCTGAAACGCGGAGTTTTACATTCCCTGTTTGAGTGGAGCGACCGGCGATCTGTTCTCCTGTGACCGAGTGTGAGTGACGAGGTCAGCGGTGTAACTGTACTGGCTTAGAGTGAACTCACCTCTTTACTAACATCCTAACCAGCTTTAGCAGCGTTAAATCACAATCCTCACAACTACAGCGCTGTTACAGCGCTCGGACAGTCATAATTTAGTATGAGTGCATTCCCAAGCAACGAAAGTGAAAGAAAGA